GTGAGTTAGAACCAAACAGGAAGCAGCTCCTCTCTCAGAACTCTGCTGAAGCTGAGAACCAAGTTCAGGAAGGAAGCAGGACTGGAGATCGGCCCTTAGTGAAGAAAAAAACTAAACCATTTCTGTGTTTGACCTGTGGGAAATGTTTTCCATACAAAAGTGGTTTAACTGCTCATATGAGAACTCACACAGGTGAGAAGCCCTTCACCTGTCAGACCTGTGGGAAAAGTTTTATTCATAAACACAGTTTAAAATCCCACATGAACTGTCACACAGGTGAGAAGCCCTTCTCCTGTCAGACATGTGGAAAAAAATTTAACCATAAAAGCAGTTTAGTCTGTCACATGAGAACTCACACAGGTGAGAAGCCCTTCTCATGTCAGACCTGTGGGAAACGTTTTAATCATAAAAACAGTTTAAAATACCACATGAAATGTCACACAGGTGAGAATGTGTGATTTTAAGATTCTTCGTAGTTTGAGTCTGTAGTTCATCATATAAACATTCAAACTGTTGCTGTCTGCTGATTAAAGTAACATTTATATAAATAAAAATCAGTTTACTGAGACTTTTATTACTGTAATGTGTTTAAGACTGTGGCCTTGTGGGTAATATAGTTGCAGCTTTTTATGAAATCAGAATCAGCTTTATTGGCCAAGTATGTTGATACACAAAAGGAATTTGTTTCCRGCTGTTTGTTTATTTCTAAATGCACCAGATGTTTTTGTTGTCTGGATGATTTTATGTTCACTGATTAAAAATCTAAATAAAAAACAGTTTTCTGGAAAGTTACATTCTTGTCTTTTTTCCTCAAGTTGTAGGAAGTTAGCATCTTGTTTACTTTCTGTCCATTTCTCACTGCTGCACTGCAGACTTTATGTAATCAAAGATTGTGAATACTGTTGAATTAAAAATACTTTTTTGTCATTGTCAAAGCACAACAAAATTATAATGACCAATTTAATGATATATATAACAAATGGAGGTCTATTTATTTTAATAAAAGTATAAATGTGAATTTATCTAAAAAAATTCAAACAGTTAAACAGAATTTTTAGTATAATAGCACTCTGACGTGGCTCGATGAAATTATAAAAATGTTCACATTGTGAGGTATGAACTTTATATGAACAGAAGCAAAAAAAATGTTGGAGTTTCTCGATTAAATAAAATGTCAAGAATTGTTGATAATATGTAAATAATTACAATGAAAATAATAAGCATTCTAAAAACATAAGTTGTGTACAGCGGGTAAAATATGTATTGAAAACGTCACCATTTTTCNACTCGGTAAAGCATGAACAGGTTTACTCAAGGATCTGAGGCTTGCCTTCATGCATTTTAATGTGGGAATGTGCTAAGGTGTCTTTTCATTTTTTTTCATCCCTACCCTCATCTCCTTCTCTGCTCGCTTTCCATTTACTATTATGTTCAAATGCTGACATGTGAGTCACTGTGAGCAGGTCAACCACTGCTTTTTCTCTCTGTTTGTACTAACACTTGTTTTTGCTCAACTTAATCCTTTAGCATAATACAAGTTATTTTCATTAGATTAACACATTTATCATGCTCCATTTTTGCTATTTACTTTTCTAAGAAGACATTTAGGCACAAAAAAAAATGTTATTCTAGCTTTTGAAAGTAAGAAGGTCCAAAATAAGTTATATTTTTGTTATCTTGTTCATTTCTCATTGCAGTAATTTTTGAATGGAACCATGCAGTCCTGTTTTAAAGGGGCAATATCATGTAAAATCAACTCTTTTGAGTTTTATATCATGTTATAA